GGGTGCTTTTTGTGCGGCTGTCGCCTCACCGGAGGGCTCAGCAGCCAATGCAGGGAAGCCATGGAGGTAGATGGGGCTAGCCTAGGCGATCTGGGCTCCGTACACGGAGGTTTTGCACCATCATGCTGCTCATTAATTGCATTTATTCATTCTTCATGTGCCCTGTTTACTAGGGAGATGCGCATGGTTGTACTTAGCACGCTAAATGCTTCAAAAGGCTGAACAAGCATTAGCTCATGTAAGAAGGGGCACACTTCAAAAAGACTAATTAGCTGGAGATTGGGGATTAGTCAGAGATTAGTTAGTAAATGTATGTGCCGTGCTTTGAATATGTGATGCTTCCAATATGTACTATGATTGTCCTTCGCTGTTAAAAACTGCCATGAAATCTATAGGATCCTGTTTAGCTTATGGACAATAACAAAGTGTAAACAGAACCAGGGGGAGGAAAAACAGGAATAGCTAATATCCACTTTCTTGCCCAAAGCTTTATCCACCCTTGTGGTGAAAAGCTCCAGTGACTGGAAGTAGAAAGCAAGACAAACCTGAGTCTGAAAGCGGAGAAGACTGAGTACTGATGAAAGCCCTGTATTTAATCAGTGTCAGCCCTGAAATGTCTGAGAAGTGGGGGATTCGGAGTCCCCTGGGGCGTTTGAATCAAAGACCTGCTGGTGGGAAGTTGCGGGGTTCTCCACAGCGATAGCAAGAGTAAGCGTCCTACGTTGGTGTCGTATGGCGTGGCCAACTCATCTGTTGTCTGATCTGGCCGCCTGGACCGCTGAGTCTGTGAAAACACCACCTCGCGTTATCCTAAAGAGCGGAGTCCCATGAGCTGGAGGGAAGCACTGCCAAGGAGCTCGGTGTCTCTCTGCTCCTGGATTCCCTCCGACGTCAGGGAGATGGCTCCGTGCTGCTGCCTGCACCGGCTGGCCCTGTGCTCTGGGAGGCCCCTCTCCAGGGAAGGCAGTCAAGTTCCCAGGGAAAGGCAGTGTGACTTCACGTTTATTTTTAGTGCCTGCATCCTCCTGGCCTTGTTCCTATTTTAGAACCTGATAGGGTTTTTTTTTCAGAGCATAGATTTAACCTGAATCCTGAGTCCTTTGCTCTCCAGAATGGCCCATGTTGTTTCTAAAGTCTCTCTTAAAAAGTCAACAGACTGCAAGAGGCACTTTTTTTTTTTTTTTTACAGTGGTGCAAGAAGGCTGTAAAGAGGTGCCAATGTGCTGTTAAAAATAAGCTGCTTCCAAGATAAGTGGCTGACTATGAAGTCTTCCCCAGCCCTCTGTGCCCTCCGCTACCTGCGGAAAGCCTAGCAGGCTGCCCTGGCAGGTTGGGCAGGAGCCGGGATGAAGCAGCCTGCACCGAGTCCCATGCTCTGGCATGAAGACATGAGAGAGCTTCAGCGCCTTCCTGCCCCGCAGGAGCCTGTTGCACGGGTGTTTGGCCTGGTGGGAAGGCAGACGATGATACCGAATAGCAGTAATTAACGCAGCCTTCTTTGCAGTGGCCTTTGCTCTGTGAAGATGTGGCTGGCGATCTGCCTGATTACTTTTAGCTTTCCGAACAAGCAAATACTATTTGCAACTAGAATTAGCCCTTTAAGTCCCCAACGGACATAAGGTTTTTAAAAGAAAACAGAACAACTAAAATCCCTCCTTGTGCAGAGTTCAGATCCTGGAAGGAGAGAAGATGTAGACTCAGATGTGCTGAGGGCTTTGCCACCATCTTGATTTTTGGGTGGAAGCTGCTGAGACCATAGAGTAACTGTCTACTTGTGCCTATAAATGGATGAGCTCTGCAAGGTACCAAGCGATGAACTGACTCAAAAGCTCAGGAGAATAGCGTGAGCTAAGTGCGCAGTAGATTGGCTGTAATTGTTCATGGTTGCAGTGCATAGATAACGTTTCCAAGCATATTTTAGAGGCAGAACAAAGACTCCGGATGAAGGGAGATGGTCATCACCTCACCCGTGCCCATGCGCTCTTAAATCTCTGCAACTTCGAATCAAGTTTTCTCAGCTCTTCCCTTTAGAGGGCGTCCATGTCACACACATCTTCGACGTGCAAACTTCGCCCGGGAGCTGCAGTACAAGGCAAAGTCTCCCAGAGGTCAGCAGAACATGGTGGCTCTTCTGAAGAGTCTGTGAACCTTCCTAGGGATGCGAAGGGAGTTACAGTCTGGTTTGAACAGTTCTGGTTGAACATATTCTCCTTCCTCAGGCAATTGCAATGCTGCTCCCAAAGGCCATTTGGACATAATTTTGATAGATTTCCTGTGGCCAGTCTCCATCAGTTACAGTATTTTCTTGCTCCAGTCTTTGAAAAGACTTCTGTTTGTGTTGAGCAAGTAAGGAAAGCTATTAAAAGGGCATGGAGATCTTCCACGTGTGAACGTTTTGGGGCTGCTCTCAACTTCCCGACAGAGGATCTGGAGGGGATTACTTCCTCCAGCAAATCATATGCTACATTAAGCCCCCATCTTTCTGCTTTCTGAAGGCGCTTCAGTATCTGTCCTGCAAAGCCACAGCATTACCCTCTACAAAGAAGTCTGAGCTCTGCTGTAGGGTACTGGGTTATCCCTAGAGCAGATAACAGGAGAATGGGCAGAATATGTGACAGAGAAGGGAAAGGCGGAAAGACAAACAGAAATCAATGACAGAACCTCTCCTACTTCAGCTGGGCTTTGATCCCACGCTTAAATTGAAGGACAAGGTCTCGTCCCAATTTCCCACCCATTTCCCCTCTTGGCTGCCTGTAAGTCCCTCCAGGGAGAAACTCTCCATGCTTACTGACAGCAATTTGATTTCCTCTTGATTTCCCCCTCTGCCTGTCCCGGTCCCACTCTGCAGACAGGGTTCCACAAAGCCTGGAGAAACAAAGCATCCGTTCATTCAGAGACGCCCTGCTGTGGTTATCATCTTTGACATACGGCTGGGGGAGGCAACCAGGGTATTTGAACATACATTAAAAAGTGAGTCCCCCATTGCTAACTGCATCTGGCAGGCACCAGCCCCCTGCATGGCTTGAGCGTACGAAGCATGAGGAGATGCCGAGGTGCAGGGGGTAGCTGGATTGATGCTCGTCTCTGTTACGTATGCTGTGTGCACAGCAGTGCACAAAGAACAGTCCCCTGGGGTACGGCTGCTTGCTGGTAGTTCAGGTGTCAGAATTCTGAGAGAAAAGATCTGTAGTGTCAAAAAAAAGCCTGCCACGAGGTCCCAAATCCTGGTGTCTGCTGCTTCAAATCAGTCCCAAGAAATACCAGAAAGGCTCTTTGGAGCTCAGTAGCAGACAAACAACATCTTCCCACCCAGGACAAGGCACGCTGCAAACAAAATGTCCTTCCCTTCTCCCAGCAGCAAAGCTCTTAAGCCTCCATTTAATGTTAAATACACACTTAAACCCATTCCTCCTCAGCACGTTCTGTGTGCTTACGTAGAATTTTAGCAGGCTCAGAAATGCTGTGCTATAACTGGGGCCTGTCTAAAGGCTGAACCTTGTACACTGAATAACAAGACCTTTGTCTTTA